GCTTCCAATGCATACACTTGTTTTAGTGCTGCTTTAGGAAGACGGGTTAATGGCTCTGAACGTAGAGACGGCAACTTCTAGTTGGCTGCACACCGAGGTCCGCGGTTCAAATCCCACAGCCAGGCTCGGCTGAATTTTTGAGTTTTGCCTTGTTAAGGCGAAGATCATATGTTTTATGATTTATTGTTTGTTTTCTCTTTCGAGACGAGCTTAATGATCTGAAATTTGCAGTGAAAAGGAAAGCCAGATAGAACTATCACACACTCACCACTATGCGACGCGTTTCGCCGTTGGTTAAGCGGCTCATCAGGCATATTTGGTGTGGATGATGGCTTACAAGGGCCGTTCTCTGGAAAGTAGTATATATTTCGAACTTATTGCAAATTAGCATATGCGAATTATACACTAGAAACTCTCCAGGTTGGACTCAAGTTCTATTGGCAGATCTTTTTCACAGCAAAGTTTTGTTTTTGTAGTGATGGATTTTTTGTCCACAACAACTACATTGCTTCCAATGCATACACTTGTTTTAGTGCTGCTTTAGGAAGACGGGTTAATGGCTCTGAACGTAGAGACGGCAACTTCTAGTTGGCTGCACACCGAGGTCCGCGGTTCAAATCCCACAGCCAGGCTCGGCTGAATTTTTGAGTTTTGCCTTGTTAAGGCGAAGATCATATGTTTTATGATTTATTGTTTGTTTTCTCTTTCGAGACGAGCTTAATGATCTGAAATTTGCAGTGAAAAGGAAAGCCAGATAGACACTATCACACACTCACCACTATGCGACGCGTTTCGCCGTTGGTTAAGCGGCTCATCAGGCATATTTGGTGTGGATGATGGCTTACAAGGGCCGTTCTCTGGAAAGTAGTATATATTTCGAACTTATTGCAAATTAGCATATGCGAATTATACACTAGAAACTCTCCAGGTTGGACTCAAGTTCTATTGGCAGATCTTTTTCACAGCAAAGTTTTGTTTTTGTAGTGATGGATTTTTTGTCCACAACAACTACATTGCTTCCAATGCATACACTTGTTTTAGTGCTGCTTTAGGAAGACAAAACTTTGCTGTGAAAAAGATCTGCCAATAGAACTTGAGTCCAACCTGGAGAGTTTCTAGTGTATAATTCGCATATGCTAATTTGCAATAAGTTCGAAATATATACTACTTTCCAGAGAACGGCCCTTGTAAGCCATCATCCACACCAAATATGCCTGATGAGCCGCTTAACCAACGGCGAAACGCGTCGCATAGTGGTGAGTGTGTGATAGTGTCTATCTGGCTTTCCTTTTCACTGCAAATTTCAGATCATTAAGCTCGTCTCGAAAGAGAAAACAAACAATAAATCATAAAACATATGATCTTCGCCTTAACAAGGCAAAACTCAAAAATTCAGCCGAGCCTGGCTGTGGGATTTGAACCGCGGACCTCGGTGTGCAGCCAACTAGAAGTTGCCGTCTCTACGTTCAGAGCCATTAACCCGTCTTCCTAAAGCAGCACTAAAACAAGTGTATGCATTGGAAGCAATGTAGTTGTTGTGGACAAAAAATCCATCACTACAAAAACAAAACTTTGCTGTGAAAAAGATCTGCCAATAGAACTTGAGTCCAACCTGGAGAGTTTCTAGTGTATAATTCGCATATGCTAATTTGCAATAAGTTCGAAATATATACTACTTTCCAGAGAACGGCCCTTGTAAGCCATCATCCACACCAAATATGCCTGATGAGCCGCTTAACCAACGGCGAAACGCGTCGCATAGTGGTGAGTGTGTGATAGTGTCTATCTGGCTTTCCTTTTCACTGCAAATTTCAGATCATTAAGCTCGTCTCGAAAGAGAAAACAAACAATAAATCATAAAACATATGATCTTCGCCTTAACAAGGCAAAACTCAAAAATTCAGCCGAGCCTGGCTGTGGGATTTGAACCGCGGACCTCGGTGTGCAGCCAACTAGAAGTTGCCGTCTCTACGTTCAGAGCCATTAACCCGTCTTCCTAAAGCAGCACTAAAACAAGTGTATGCATTGGAAGCAATGTAGTTGTTGTGGACAAAAAATCCATCACTACAAAAACAAAACTTTGCTGTGAAAAAGATCTGCCAATAGAACTTGAGTCCAACCTGGAGAGTTTCTAGTGTATAATTCGCATATGCTAATTTGCAATAAGTTCGAAATATATACTACTTTCCAGAGAACGGCCCTTGTAAGCCATCATCCACACCAAATATGCCTGATGAGCCGCTTAACCAACGGCGAAACGCGTCGCATAGTGGTGAGTGTGTGATAGTGTCTATCTGGCTTTCCTTTTCACTGCAAATTTCAGATCATTAAGCTCGTCTCGAAAGAGAAAACAAACAATAAATCATAAAACATATGATCTTCGCCTTAACAAGGCAAAACTCAAAAATTCAGCCGAGCCTGGCTGTGGGATTTGAACCGCGGACCTCGGTGTGCAGCCAACTAGAAGTTGCCGTCTCTACGTTCAGAGCCATTAACCCGTCTTCCTAAAGCAGCACTAAAACAAGTGTATGCATTGGAAGCAATGTAGTTGTTGTGGACAAAAAATCCATCACTACAAAAACAAAACTTTGCTGTGAAAAAGATCTGCCAATAGAACTTGAGTCCAACCTGGAGAGTTTCTAGTGTATAATTCGCATATGCTAATTTGCAATAAGTTCGAAATATATACTACTTTCCAGAGAACGGCCCTTGTAAGCCATCATCCACACCAAATATGCCTGATGAGCCGCTTAACCAACGGCGAAACGCGTCGCATAGTGGTGAGTGTGTGATAGTGTCTATCTGGCTTTCCTTTTCACTGCAAATTTCAGATCATTAAGCTCGTCTCGAAAGAGAAAACAAACAATAAATCATAAAACATATGATCTTCGCCTTAACAAGGCAAAACTCAAAAATTCAGCCGAGCCTGGCTGTGGGATTTGAACCGCGGACCTCGGTGTGCAGCCAACTAGAAGTTGCCGTCTCTACGTTCAGAGCCATTAACCCGTCTTCCTAAAGCAGCACTAAAACAAGTGTATGCATTGGAAGCAATGTAGTTGTTGTGGACAAAAAATCCATCACTACAAAAACAAAACTTTGCTGTGAAAAAGATCTGCCAATAGAACTTGAGTCCAACCTGGAGAGTTTCTAGTGTATAATTCGCATATGCTAATTTGCAATAAGTTCGAAATATATACTACTTTCCAGAGAACGGCCCTTGTAAGCCATCATCCACACCAAATATGCCTGATGAGCCGCTTAACCAACGGCGAAACGCGTCGCATAGTGGTGAGTGTGTGATAGTGTCTATCTGGCTTTCCTTTTCACTGCAAATTTCAGATCATTAAGCTCGTCTCGAAAGAGAAAACAAACAATAAATCATAAAACATATGATCTTCGCCTTAACAAGGCAAAACTCAAAAATTCAGCCGAGCCTGGCTGTGGGATTTGAACCGCGGACCTCGGTGTGCAGCCAACTAGAAGTTGCCGTCTCTACGTTCAGAGCCATTAACCCGTCTTCCTAAAGCAGCACTAAAACAAGTGTATGCATTGGAAGCAATGTAGTTGTTGTGGACAAAAAATCCATCACTACAAAAACAAAACTTTGCTGTGAAAAAGATCTGCCAATAGAACTTGAGTCCAACCTGGAGAGTTTCTAGTGTATAATTCGCATATGCTAATTTGCAATAAGTTCGAAATATATACTACTTTCCAGAGAACGGCCCTTGTAAGCCATCATCCACACCAAATATGCCTGATGAGCCGCTTAACCAACGGCGAAACGCGTCGCATAGTGGTGAGTGTGTGATAGTGTCTATCTGGCTTTCCTTTTCACTGCAAATTTCAGATCATTAAGCTCGTCTCGAAAGAGAAAACAAACAATAAATCATAAAACATATGATCTTCGCCTTAACAAGGCAAAACTCAAAAATTCAGCCGAGCCTGGCTGTGGGATTTGAACCGCGGACCTCGGTGTGCAGCCAACTAGAAGTTGCCGTCTCTACGTTCAGAGCCATTAACCCGTCTTCCTAAAGCAGCACTAAAACAAGTGTATGCATTGGAAGCAATGTAGTTGTTGTGGACAAAAAATCCATCACTACAAAAACAAAACTTTGCTGTGAAAAAGATCTGCCAATAGAACTTGAGTCCAACCTGGAGAGTTTCTAGTGTATAATTCGCATATGCTAATTTGCAATAAGTTCGAAATATATACTACTTTCCAGAGAACGGCCCTTGTAAGCCATCATCCACACCAAATATGCCTGATGAGCCGCTTAACCAACGGCGAAACGCGTCGCATAGTGGTGAGTGTGTGATAGTGTCTATCTGGCTTTCCTTTTCACTGCAAATTTCAGATCATTAAGCTCGTCTCGAAAGAGAAAACAAACAATAAATCATAAAACATATGATCTTCGCCTTAACAAGGCAAAACTCAAAAATTCAGCCGAGCCTGGCTGTGGGATTTGAACCGCGGACCTCGGTGTGCAGCCAACTAGAAGTTGCCGTCTCTACGTTCAGAGCCATTAACCCGTCTTCCTAAAGCAGCACTAAAATAAGTGTATGCATTGGAAGCAATGTAGTTGTTGTGGACAAAAAATCCATCACTACAAAAACAAAACTTTGCTGTGAAAAAGATCTGCCAATAGAACTTGAGTCCAACCTGGAGAGTTTCTAGTGTATAATTCGCATATGCTAATTTGCAATAAGTTCGAAATATATACTACTTTCCAGAGAACGGCCCTTGTAAGCCATCATCCACACCAAATATGCCTGATGAGCCGCTTAACCAACGGCGAAACGCGTCGCATAGTGGTGAGTGTGTGATAGTGTCTATCTGGCTTTCCTTTTCACTGCAAATTTCAGATCATTAAGCTCGTCTCGAAAGAGAAAACAAACAATAAATCATAAAACATATGATCTTCGCCTTAACAAGGCAAAACTCAAAAATTGTCACTTGTAAATACACACTCAAAAACCCGAAAGAACACCACATTACTCACCCGTATTTAAGGTTGAGACACTTTGCCATAAATGTTTACAGTTTGAAACACGAAAAGGTCCTATTTTACTGCTTGTCCGATAATATCAAACACGCACATAGGAGACGAGGGTAATAGTGTTTATAAATGGGCGAAAAATCGTGGCACACAGGTAGTTGGAAAAACTTCAACAAAGACCGATAACAATAAAATTGTAAAAAATTAACACACTGAGTAAACGAATAAAATCATCTTACCTTTTTCATGTACGTCGCCCATGAAACTCATGCCACCATATGTTCCAATTAGCAGTCGGCCTATTAAGCCACGCCAACCGCCATATGTGCATAACTATAGATTATCCACCAACATTACCGCTCCGAAAACACACAATCAATGGGCCATATATGTAATTGAATTTAATGGACAATAAAATTCTGGAATACCGAATACGCCAATTGAAGAGTATCTTCATATATAAAATTCCTGAAATAAAATAAAAATATAAACAACATAAAGTACAATCAATTTAAAAAAGTAATATTTTTTACTCACTAATATGCTCATCTGCCAAATGAATAACTCTTAATTACCATTCTTTTATGGTCGTTGTTTCGTGTAAATGAAATGGTAGACCCTTCATACGACAACACACATATGACGATGTTCGTGTAATAACGCTACCGACAGCGATGTGTGTTTTTATTAGTTCTGCCAATGCTAACAGCGGTATGAGTACAGTAATTCTGTCTTTGCTCACAGTAATGTGTGTTAAAAAGTTCTGCCATTGCCGGCAGCGGTGTGTACGAAATAATTCTGCCGATGATAACAGGCATGTGTGTAAAGGCATTCTGCATTGACTGCATTGAGACACAATGAAACAGCATTGATAACGCCGAGTGTTGAAAGGGTTCATGTGCGTATAAACGTATGTGTGCGTAAAACCACGCCACCATTTTTTTGCGATATGTACGCACAAGCTTACCAATGGCAAACACGAGTTTTCTCATTGAAGAAACCCTGCTTTTCCTGTAGAAGAAAAAGACCTGTTAATCACTTCATCCATCACTTTAGATGTCACGCACATCACCATTTTCATTGAATGAAATGAAAATGGGAAGTATTGTTGCGTGTGACTTACTGCTGAATAATTTTTAGGTTTTTTTGAGGAAAACTACCGGCAACATTTCGGCGAACCAAGTAAGTCGTCCGCCAATGGTTTAAAAATGAAGCGGAAACGGAAATGCCAGACCAAAAAAGGTGATGCCACATCAGGGATGTATTTGGTCAGTCAAAGAGGAATGGTGACAGTAGCATAAATACAGCCCTGATTAATATCATAGGTTTAGTAGTATCAGTGGCAAAAAGAAAGTAAACAAACAATGAAAAAGACAAAAATTTTTTTGGAAAGTAGTGGAAATTCCGACCAACAGCTTCACCGAGGGTATAAATGGAGGCCAAGTGGGAAAACGCGCTACAACTTTTACCGCTCCTAACCTATACGTTGTGATACTACAACATTTACACCAAGAAAATATTAAAACAGAAAAATAAAACGATTTGAAATTTGTTCGAATTTTGAGTTATTTTATTGAAGAGTGTTAATCCATGTTTTGGGCAGACAAACTTAAAAGTAAGTGTTGATGGTGAATCTTAATTTTGTCTGTTACTGACTGGTGCTCGGTGGGTTTTCTTTTGTCTTTTAAGATTGCATCACAACAATTAACAACGATTTGACTGTCCTCCTCAATTTTCCAGACGGGAGGAGGGCAGATTTTTCAATAATTTAATTGGGCAAAAATCCAGATTCGAAAATTTGACCAGTCCGAGGAGCATCATAAGTAACTGGTAAATCCCCGTGAGCCTGTGGTGATGCTCTTTTTGTTGTATCCGGGATGACCAGGTAACATTTTTGTGATACACCGTGCAGATAGCTCCGAAATGTTGAATTTTCCTTGCGGCCTTAAAACCCAATGAATTTTTAACATAAAAAAGAAGATAAAACAGGAAATTAATTATACAAAATAATACTAGTTTTAGATTAATGTATTTTAAAGTTTAATTGAGTGTTGTCCTTATGCAATGATTTATTGTTTAAGTTTTTTTGTAGGGGTTACTAATGCCGATGCCTTTTATGTTGCGAGTGTAGGATTAACCCTTGACGAATTTATATGAGAAATAATTTAAATATATCGACCTATCAATGAAAAGTTCGTCCGCCACTTAAGAGAGCTCTTTTAGGTAGCTCAATTGTGTGTTTTTGTGTCGTTAATATCCCATTGGTTGTCGCGTATAAGAAAGGTGTTAATCTGAGTCAGTGACTCGCATTTCTTATTCTAAGATTATTCGGTATTAGTAGTTCAGTTTTTATGATTCTAAATGTTTTATGTTCATAGGTTAATTGATAATGACAATATCTAAAATAAATGTTTGTTTTTAAGTTTGAATTTTTGTTTATGAGAGAGGATACTAGAATGTAGATTTCGCGTTAGGTAAGTGTGTGTGGAATTTGGGGCCCTTTTAAAATTTGAGTTTATGGATCAAAGGGTCAAGGTTGGGCGGGCTATGTGTTGTTTCAATTGTTGTTTTGTCCTTTATTAAGACCAACTTCCGTTACTAGTTGTTAAGTCTCTAGAACTCCTGGTGGTAAGGGTTAAGAATCCCCCTGATAGGGATGCCGCGACTGAGATTGTCGGAACCCCACCAGAGTGCCGAAGTAGGTGGCACATAACAGTTCTCATTTTCTGGTGATCAACTTTCACTGTAAATGTGCAATTATTTTCATATCTTGGACTTGTTTGCAACAATAGCACAATTGCATCCGTCGAAAAATTAAAAATACTCGGTATTACAATTAACAACAAATAAATATGGAATTCGCATATCGATGAATTAATTTCTCTACAAAGTAAGCTTCGCATGCTTAAATCTTTATCCAACTTCTATCATTACCTCATCTTAAATCTTTATCCAACTTCTATCATTACTTTACGGAATACTCCACTTTACAGGATACTCCTAAATCAAATTTGAAGAAAATCAAAACTTCATCTAACTCAGCAGTTCGAATTGCACTCGAACCTCATCGACAACTAGAATAACTATGGCTTACGCTTTGACAATAGAAGACTATTGGGAAATGTCCACCACTAGGTTTTGTAAAGCAATTGTACTCAATTACAGTTAAAAAAACCTACATTAAAATTAAGATAAAAACTTTCGACATCTGAATTAGCGCTAAATCGTATAAGGAATTATTGTGATAAGTTTAAAATTCTACATAGCTGCAAATTTTTACTAGCTAAAAATCCTTTTTGGATTTCAAATTCATTACCGATAGATACATCTCTTCACAAGTATCGCAAGGAAAACACAAACTCAGAATTTTATGAACACGAATTCTGCAATATCCTCAAGAAGTACGAATACTGATCAAAAACCAACAATTTTACGAAAAAATCAAACCAATGATGAAATCTTTGAATCATCTCTTGTAGAAGAATATTAATCATTTTTCACTGCTGAAATAATAGCCATTTTTGAAACAATAAAACTTACCAAATCCTTAAGTGGGAAGTTAATTTTCGTAACTGATTTATTACCAGCCTTAGATTTTATTAAAAATTCTAATGACATCAATATTTACGCAAGCTAAATTAGGGACAATATTGACTATCAAAAACATATTTTGCTATGTGCTCTAGAACACTCCAATCGCAGATTGAGTCGCAAAAGATTCTTCCACTTCTCCTGTCACATGTACAGAAAATATATTATGGGTTGTTATTAAAAATATTGATAAAGAATTTTCACTTGAAGAGGTAAGTATGTGGGGCAATACATCAGACTAGTGTAGAGTTATAAATAACCAAAAAAGAGAAAATTAAAACCTATCTACAAAATTATATCATTATGCCAAGGGTTGACCAGGTAAAAATAATTCTGAAAAGGCTGTGTAATTGCCGTTCAGCGCACGATCATATCATCAACGAAAACGTAAAAGAGTGCTAATTTTGTAATTCTAGCACATTCGATATGAATCACTATTTATTGATCTGCCAATATAAATACAATATAAATGTTATACTAAATCAATCTTTCCCAATAATGTACTGGACATAATACAAAATCAAGAAAATACATCTTAGAAACAAGATATAATAAAATGATTAAAATTATTATTTCAATTTAACTGTAAAATAAAATTTGACTCACATATTCCTAAATTAATAAATTACTAAATATTAACTTATATATAAATAACTTAACTAGTTTAATGCATTTTTAGCCAGAGCTATATATATGTATTAAATTTATAATATACTCATATAATTGTATATAATTGTAAATGAAAACAAGTAAAAAAGCTGCAAGTTCGACCGGGCCGAAAATTGAATACCCTCCACCATTTGGTACAAATTTAACAATTTTCAAAAAAATAAAAACCGCTAAAAATTCTTTTAACATCTTAAAAATTCCGATTGTAGCCGTATGTTAGGGTCTATACAATATTCAAATGCAAAACTAGAAAAAAAAAACTGTTTATAATGTAGCTAAAATCATCAAATTACCGAATATAGGGAGATACCATGGGGGTTATAAAACGTGGACCTGCACAGACAATTTTCTGTCATAGGCTGCAGGATTTTTGACTTTTGAAAATGGAGCATGTAGGTCCACGTTTTGGTAAAGCCCCCATATAATAGCACCTCCCGATATTCGGTATTTTAATGATTCTAGCGACATTATTCACCGAAATAGTTTCAAATTTGGTATGAAGTTCGTAATGGATACTACAGCTTAAGATAGAAAATTGTCTGTGCAGACCACGTTTTCGTTAGTCCCCATATAACGGTACCTCCCGATATTCGGTATTCTAATGATTTTATGGACATTTTCACAAGAATTGTCTCAAGATTGGTATTTGAAGTCCGTAATGGATACTACAGCCTACGACAGAAAATTGTCTGTGCAGGTCTTCGTATAGCCCCCATATAACGGTACCTCCCGATATTCGGTATTTTGATGATTTTAGCGAATTTATTCCCCGGAATTGTTTCAAATTTTGTATTTGAGATTCGTAATGGATACTACAGCCTACGACAGAAAATTGTCTGTGCAGGTCCACGTCTTCATATAGCCCCATTAAACAGTACCTCCCGATATTCGGCATTTTAATGATTTTAGGGGCATTTTTCACCAGAATTGTTGTTATTATAACTGATTTTTTAAGTTTCGCATTTGAATATTGTAGTGGCTTATGACAAATGTTACCTACGCAGGTTCATGTCGTCGTATAGGTGTTTCAAATTCGGTATTTGAGATTCGTAATGGATACTACAGCCTACGACAGAAAATTATCTGTGCAGGTCCACCTCTTCGTATAGCCCCCATATAACAGTACCTCCCGATATTCGGCATTTTAATGATTTTAGGGACATTTTTCACCAGAATTGTTGTTATTATAATTGATTTTTTTAAGTTTCGCATTTGAATATTGTAATGGTAACAAATGTTACCTACGCAGGTTCATGTCGTCGTATAGACCCTAATATTATAGCTAGATTCGCTATCTTTAAGATTTTAACAGAATTTTTAACGGATTTTATTGTTTTTGAGAATTGCCAAGTTCGTTCCAAATGTTGGAGGGTATACAAAGTTCGGCCCGGCCCAACTTATAGCTTTTTTACTTATTTTTATTAAAATATATATATTATCTGATTTAATTATATTTGAAGTCATTTTTATTTTAAAACAATTGTATGTATCAAAGCACATACGTTTTAATAAATACATACATTATTTTTAAAGGCGCTAGTATCATTCATCTGGGGATATATATTTTTTAATTTTAGAAATACAAACTCATTTTTCATATTTTACATAAGCAACATTCTACAATACAAAATTTGTTTCATAACTGGTATACCATAAAAATTTGCTTCATGTATCCATTCATACAGGATATAGAATGCATGCTTTTATCGTCTTTTAAAGTAGTTATTTTTTTTAAATACATGAATTACTTCATGGCAAAACAACACTTATTTCTTGAACACTTTCCTATTTTCGTTTACTCCATTATTGATCAAAAGCCCTATGGTCTCTTCTATTGTTTCCATTTTTTCCCCATATCATCTACCATTGTCTCGGCTTGTGTATGGTTTTTAAAAATAAACTTTTTAATTGTTGATACATCATTAACGCTTTTAATACGTTAGCAGAAAAGCTTCTAGGAGTTACTTTCTCAGTACAAACAGACCCGTCAGACATTTCCAATGTTTTTTGCGAAGTGTGGCCGGATTCATCAATTCTGATGAATTCCAGTCAACAAAGAAAATTAATGCACGTGGC